CCTCCCAACCAACCATGGATGCCTTTCGTCCAGGTTTTGCGTTGTTCTAGACTTTGTCTGAGTTTCTCAGGCAACAGCACCATCTACAGCGACGAGGACATCCATGGTGTATGCGATGAGAACCTCCTCCTCACCTGCGAGATGGTGACTGCTAAATTCACCAAGCATCTTGGCTCACCATGCTCAGGGCAACAGGACGTGCTCTGAATCTAAGTTGGATTTAAGGTCGACCATTGCCACCACAGTTGGAAGCTCAGGCCAACATCTAGGCTGTGGCTGGGCCACCCCCTGAAGCCGAGGTCTTTAGCTTCCTGGCATCGATCTTCTCCTTGCAGATGCTGTTCGACGCAGCGACGCTGCATGAGCAGGCACGAAACTGGCACTAGCACAGTTTGAGTGGCAAGATTTCTAGTTTCATCTCCGTTTAGGCAGTCTGGCGAAGAAAGGCGGCTGCTGCCAAGGCACGGCGCGTTGTGAAAAAGTGTTCCTTGCTTCAGTTCCTGTGGCAGGAAGGGAAACAAGAGTGAGTCGACAAGGCCTTTCCAAAAAGGAGTGCTGCTCGAAGCCCAAAACAAAACGGCTGTTGTGCATAGCTTTTGCGGGATTCTGCCGGGCCGACCCTTCAGCGACCCTTCGGCCCCTTCTTCTGCCCCGGGCCTCCATGGGTTTGCAAAGCAACGCATGAAGCTTGCGATTGGCAAGACGGTCTGGAGATCCTCATCGTGTTCGATGAGGGTTGCTGCTTTGCGATGCCTTGTCTGATCCTGCTTGCCGGCTCGATAGTCTTCCGAAGTAGTAGTAACATCGGCATCCGAATCAGCAGATGATGGAGGCTTTGAGGACGGCTATTTCCATATGCCCACGCCAAAATGGAGTTCTAGTATGTCAACATAAATGTCACTTGTACCTGAGAAGTCTAGTCTTTCAGGGGCGCATTTGATGGAAAGCCGGTGTGGCGTCATTGACGTGGAGACATGCACTGAGCTATTGACAGCGGCACAAGACACAGACCAACAGGGTGTCGACTTTGGATTCATCTCTCCCAATAACATGGCTGCCTGCAGGTTAGCTGTCATTTGGTTCCACACTTTTGGCACACCCTGCCCGCACGAACGAAGTAGGGGTTCGGTGCGGGCTCTCTGCCCTCTTCCGCTTGCCACTGGCATCCAGTAACGTCCAGGCAGAGAGAGAGACTTGACCAGACTCTGACTCTCTGACTCTGCACTTGACTTGCTGGTGCTGTGGGCGCTCTTGAGCTCTTGCCATGCGCATAAGCAGCGCATAGGTGACCTCATGAAATCTTGCACGAAGCTCCGGGATTCGGCCCAAGCCTCTGACTGTGTGATCTCGGAGAGCTCGGAGAGCGGATGACAGATGAAGGAGGTCACTGCGACTTTTGAAGATAATCCGCCTGTGCAGATCTCTTATGAGAAGCACCACCTCGACTCTTTGACAACCCGGTCGGCAAAAGAGCCGGAAGCTTCTTGTTGATTTGTAGTTTACGGTCCCCATGCGACCCTTGCCTCAGGGCTGCTAGCATGCAAGTGCAACTACAAGAGTAGCAGAAACTACAGAGTTCATGACTGACAAACCCCACGGAAGGACAGGGGATGCATTCCAGCTTCCCTCCCAAAGAGTTTGATCCGGGGCTGGATTCTGGTTGGGCTGCAAAGGATGCTTAGACATTCGAGGGCCGCTTACAGAAAACAGAGCTTGCAGAGCCCGTACTTACTTGAAGGTCGTGCTGCAGGATGTTATTTCGGCTGCAGTATGATAGTGTTTCGCGCCTGAGGGTGGCGCACTGCGATGGGCTGCGCCATGCCTGCCTGCATTCGTCAATGCTCAACTTGACATGTGAAGCACATCCATCCACGACAGGCCACCAGTAGTTCTTGGCACGAGCCAAAAATTATACAGAGTCCCACCGCCTGCAACTCAGTCACTTGCTGGACTGTAGTATTGATGAATATGCTTTTTGGTTGTAAGCCAGCAGCTCAAATTATTGTGACTGAAGCAGTAAGTTGCTGAAGTCGATTTTGCATGGTTTCTCGACGAGTCGTAATGTGTTGTTCCGCTAGCTCGCAACGGCAAGTCGTCATCGCCGCAGCCGTTCGACTTAAGTGCCACCGTTCCGCAAGCCGACGGTGGGCACTAGTGAAATTTCTGTAGTCTGTCACGGCTTCATGCCGAGGCGGAGGTCTGACTCTTCCTCCCCGTCCCCCCGCCGCCGCTGGCACGGACGCAGGAGGGCGAGCTCTTCCTCCCGTTCCTGCTCCGATGTGCCAGCCGGGCCCGACCATCGTTGCCCTATTGGCGTTTCAGTTTGCTTTCTGCCAGGCGACGGAGGTCCCGCAGCCCTTCAGTTCGAAGGCTCGCCCTGGCCTCTCTGGCTTTTGCCGCCTGTCCCACATGCTGGTTCAGACCACTTCCGGCCCAGGCCCGACCCGGCAACACCGCCTTCGGTCGTGGTCCCTCAGGCCTGCCTGCATGCTTTGATATTTTTGAATAGTTGCATGCTGGTGGGGCATGACATACTCAGCGCGCTTGTTTTTTTCCCGCAGCCGCCTTATCCTGCCTTCCTTCACACCTTCTCACTGCTCGCCGTCATGTCGCGCTTCAGTGGTACGTATCAGCTCCTCAACCTGCCCCGTGGCCTCGTTGGTGCCGGTGTTGGTGTCCAGCCCGGCACGACTGGTGTGGTTGATCTTCCGATTGACGTCACTGCCGCCCCGTCGCCGGTTCAGGAGACCGCTCCGGCAGGGCAGGGGGAGCGGAGCTGATGGTGCCCCGGCTGCCTTGGTTTCCCGCCGATGTTTCGCCTCATAAACTTAGAGCTACTTGGGAGTTCGGCGAGCTCGCGTTGCTTTGGCGTGTCGCCCTTCTCATCCCGGCGGCCCACCACCCGGTCCATTTCATGAGCCGTTGTGATAACAACCCGTCCGATGCTGCTTCCTGGAAGGGCTTGTCGACTGCCCGCGGTTTATGCCACTTGCTTAATACTTACTTCCTGCGGCAGCGACACTGTTGTGTTTCCAGTTACATTGACCATGTTCCTGGATCTCGGAACACCATCGGGAATGGGGTATGCCGTGACTCCGATCCGACCGACGTCTTTCCCGGCCGACGCCGGCACCTGCACTTTTTTTCCGGCTCTGGGCTTCTGACTTTGGCTGGATGTCCCCCGGCGCGGGTACTCCATCACCTCGTGCTGGTGCCTACCTTTGGTTGTGCATCCATCAAAGTCCTGCCCGTTAACCGGCCCGACAGTCACACTCGGCCCGCCCGGTTACCCGAATACAGATCCGTAGTTTCAGTCTAGCGGCGGCTATGGCCCGAAGGTATATCCGGTAGCCGGCCCGGATCTGCTGCGGGTTTTCAGCCATCGGAAAAAGGGAGCGCTCGTTCCGCTCTTGCCGAACCGCAAGAATAGTGCACACCGACCGCAACGGACTAGTGCTAGCGGAAGAACGGTTTCTCGACGGGTCGTAATGTGTTATTCCGCTAGCCGCTAGCTCGCAACGGCAAGTCGTCATCGCCGCAGCCGCTCGACTTAAGTGCCTCCGTTCCGCAAGCCGACGGTGGGCACTAGTGAAATTTCCTAGTGACATTTCCCCCGCCACCTCCCGTTTTCTCCACCTTGGACTTCTGTCCGCCCTTTGGTTTTTTGATTCGGGGTGTGAGCTGGACTTTGCTCTTGCGCTTCCGTAGGCTGTGCATCCATCCAAGTCCTGCCCGGTAACCGGCCCGACCGTCACACTCGGCCCGCCCGGTTACCCGAATACAGATCCCTAGTTTCAGTCTAGCGGCAGCTATCCGGCCCGAAGGTATATCCGGTAGCCGGCCCAGATCTGCTGCGGGTTTTCAGCCATCGGAAAAAAGGAGCGCTCGTTCCCCTTTTACCGAACCGCAAGAATAGTGCACACCGAACGTAACGGACTAGTGCTAGCGGAAGAACATATATATGACTCCACATGACTTGCTGTGTGTATGTGTAGTTTTCTCGGGTCAAGTGCCCGTAGATGTCTCTCAGCAGGCCTCTGCAGGCTAGCTTGCTAGGAGGGTCTTTGGCATCTCTGGCGCTCCGCTTCTTCGAGGAGACACTGCATCCAGGCGCTCTGGACGAGGCAAGCTTTGGCAGCCTGCATTGCCCTATCTGTCCGACAGCTCCGGTTGTGGAACTACACGTCCCGAGTTTTGCTTGGGGAATCCTTGCTGGCCTGCTCCTGGGTTCCCTTTTAGACCTCTTATATTACTTTTGGGTTTCGTGGTGCGACTTCGTGCATGTGCGTGTGCAGAGGTTGCGCTCTAGTGGGCCGGGGCAGCTTTACCGGGTTCTTTCGTGAGTGGCAGGGGCATCGAGGCTGAGCTGCATCGTATCGCCCGAGCCCTTGAAGACCTCACCGCTGAGGTCCGCAACCAGGGGCGCGATCTTTCTTACTTTCGCGATCGCTTGTGTGAAAGCGAAATTGGTTGGGACGTTCTGGATTCTGTGCCGGAGAGCTCCCGTGCCAGCAAGCCTGCGACTCGCGATCTTCCTCTGCCCCCTCAAAGTTCTGTAGGGTTTACGCCCCGCTCCCCTCAGGTTCAAGGTAGTTCAGGGTCCTCACCTGCTGCACTCACTGCCTGGAACCCTAATCGCCCCCGGCCCCTAGTCCCCAGCCTTCGGGCTCTTCTGTGCCAGGCGGCATCAGCGACGAGGAGAGGCGAGAGATTGCTCAGGCCATTGGGGGTTTCTTTGCTAGGGCCCTTTCGGGAGCCTACCGCAGGCAATCGGGCCGGAGCCGCAATCCCCTTGCCGTGAGGGTGTACGTGGTCGTGAGGGTTATACGGGCCAGGTTTACGATCCACCTCTGCTTCTGCATACTTTTGCTGAGGCGAAGCACTGGTCTGCTTCACGACTCCGTCTTCTGCGGATTCCCGAGTCTTTGGGAGGCTAAGGTTGCTTGCGAGGCGGCCGGCCTGGCCGAACCTGCTGTTCTGAAGGCCGGTGTGCAGTAGCCATGTCGGCTGAGGAAGCAGAAGAGGGTGAGCAGTCGGGGACGGACAGCCATGTGTCTCGCCCTCGGGAGTTGAACTTCATTTTTCAAGGAGGTGCTGTCCAGCACGCTTATGAGATTGGGGTGCTTACTGTAGGGGAGCCCTCAGCACGCAAAACAGTGGCTATCATCTTCATATCCCCGTTTGAAGGAGGGAGGGTGGTGGCTGCTTTGCCACAACGAGCTTGGGACAAGCGTACTGCCAAGCGTAAAATACCTAAAGGGCCATTTGCAAAGCCCGTGCTGTGTGAAGTCGTGTCGGCCGCTTTTGACTTTGCAAGGCAGCTCTCTTTTGAAGGTTTGGGTTGGACTTCTGAGCCAGGATGTTGCTGATACGGTAACCTTTAGTGGTTCTGCCGACTCTTGCGACATCGTCTTCCTTGGCCCCGAAGGCCAGCCTATCCTTCCTTATGCCACTGGGTTGGTTCAAGCGGCGGATGCTCAGTTCAACTTCGTTTCCGCTCAGTCCGGGGCCGACCGTGTCGAGACTCGCCTCCGAGCCATTGAAGATTCGTTGGCTCGCCTTTCGCTTTTCATGGAAGGTGGAGCTGCACCTGCACAGGCAGCTCAGGCCAAGGTCAAGGCAGGGCGTCAGGGCCAGGATCTAGGTTCGCGGCCCAAGGCTAAGGCCAAGCATCCCGAAAGATCCGTCCCAGGCACGCCGCGGCCTACGGGGGCTGCCAGGGATCTCCCAGGTCTTGATCCCGCAGTGCTGAAGTCAGCTCTGGATTCGGGCATAGGCAAGAAGGAGTTAGCGGAGATCCAAGGTGTGATTCTGCAGCAGAGGCCGCGCATGAGTGACTTCGGCCCCGTCAAAGGAGCAGGCGCTGCGGCTGACAGCCTCGCCCCGCCTGGTGGGGAGTCGCCTCGGAGCTCTCTGGGGGAAGAAGCCCATTCGGTTGATGGAGCGGGTCCTGCTCATCTGGAGGCTGCGGTTGTTGCTCTGACAAAGATCGTAGGCGAGCTCGCCAAGGGAAAGCGGGGCGCTGGTGACAAGCAAGGTGGTCTTGAGGCGGCTTTGGACAGAGCCGAGGGCATTGGGAGCGGGTCTTCGGAGTTTCCGGGTTCTACGGGTAGCCGCTCTAAAACTGCAGCCTTCCGGCTTTTGCAGAATGCCGTGAAGAATGAGCCTGAGACGATCTACGGCTCTATTGAGCGCCTCCTCTCCGAAGACCTCCTTCACTCGCGGGAAGGCACCGATCTTGCATCCAGCCATGCGTCTGCGAGAGCTTGGTTGGAACACCGATCGCACCTAGGGGCATACCCTACCACCGTTCGACTTGCCTGGATTTTGGCGGGGGTGTGGGATGTGAGTTGGCGAAGCTCGTGCTCGGGCTGCTCTGGGCATAGCAAGTGTGGACCAACAGAGTCTCGACTCCGGGAGCTGGATCCTTGCAGACCACTTCAGTTTTGAGAAGCCTCCGCCGCTTGCTGCCTTCACCAACAGGCGCTCCTCCTCCTCTGCTGAGGTGGTGGACACGTACCACACGCGCCTGCTTGACCCACGGTGGGCTGAGCTCTGCCTGCGCCGAGTTCGCGAAGTCGAGCTGCATTTGGAATCCAAGAGAAAGCTCAGCAAGGGCCGCGGCTCGCCTTCCGGAGGCGAGGTACCGGCCGACAAGGGCGACAAGGGTGGAGGCAGAGGAGGCAAGGGAGACAAAGGAGAGAAAGGGCCAGGCGGGCCAGAGCAAGTAAAAGTTTTCTGTGTGTAGCGGCCGTGCAGCGGTTAACGCGCCGGCACCCACGCGGCCGTGCAGCGGTTAACGCGCCGGCACCCACGGTGTGAGGGGCGGCTTTGGGAGTAGGGTCAACCGTAGGTCTTTCTACTTCGCGCCCACACTCAGCTCCGTAGCTGCTCCGGGTCGTGGTTGGGCTCGCGTTTCCGAGGTTCTTCAGCTTTGGGATGGGCTCGCCCCTGTCACTGCGGAAAGTATGGGCCGGACGGCTACTAAGGTGGAGAAGGTGGAAGCTCAGATTGCTGCACTTTTCGAGGCCGACCTCGCGTCTTCGTGTGCAGCGATGCCGGGCATGCACCTTGCTAAGGATGTGGAGGTGGAGCGCCTCAGCATTCCTTCTTCTCCTCCTCTGTTCGACCCCTGCCCTCTGTTGGACAAAACTCTGCGGGAGCTTTTCTTGCATGCCTCGCGCTACGTGATCCGGGTTGAGGAAGCCTCCGAGGTGCCTCCGAGGGTGACGTTCCGCGCGCCTACAAAACGTGCCCGTTTGGACTTTTTGGCGGCCCTGGACAAGTCTGGTAGGTTGCGGCTCTTCAACGCGTCGGAGCATGATGGGCGGACCTCGTGTGCCCAAATCTATTGAAGCCGACTGCCTCATAGTTGACGCTCGCCCGGCGAACATCTGCATGTCTGGTGACAGCCGTTGGCTTTCGATCCTGGCGTGTTCCGAGAGTCTTCTTAACATCGAGCTCCAGCCTCACGAACAGTTGCTTGCATCAGGAGAAGATGTTAGGGATTATTACCACCAGTTCCGTGTGAGCGACGACCGCTCAGCCTTGTATCGCTTCGAAGGTGTTTTCAAGCCTGGGGACCTTGCTCATTTGCCTTCCTTCCGTCGCGAGATGTGGGGCTGGAGCGGGTTAGCCGTGGCTCTTGGCACCATGGCCATGGGCGATAAAAACAGCGTGGCGCTGGGTCAAGCCAGCCATGCAGGGCTTGTGTTGGACCGTTTGGGGCTTGGTGTTGAGCATTTCCTTTGCATAAGGGGCCGCGTTCCTCGAAGCCCGGTCATGGTCGGTGTTCTCATTGACGACTTAGTGCTCCTTGAGAAGGCCCTGCGAGGCGATGCCTTCAACCCTGCAGACTGCCGCAGCCCCCGTTTGGTTGAAACCCTGCACGCTGCTTACTCGCAGGTTTTTCTCCCGCGGCACGAGAAGAAGGCTTTTCACTTGACTACTGAAGCCTCCTTCTGGGGAGCCGACCTCCTGGGTGAGCGAGGTTTGGTTCGGCCTTCCTGGACGCGGCTTGTGCCTTTGGTGAGTCTCTCCTTGGCTGTACTGGAGCTGCCGGCCGTGTCGGTCTCTCTCCTCGAGATACTGGCCGGCTCTTGGGTCGCCGCGTTCTCTTTCAGGCGCCGTGCACTGTGTTTGCTCGAGGACGTGTACCGCTTGCAGCGCGGGCGGGGCCGCTCGGACTTGCTTGTGCCGCCTACTTCTTTTCGGGCCGAAGTTTTCCGCTGGTGCGCTCTGGCACCCCTCGTCCGAGTCCGAACGGACTTGCGCGCCCTTTCCTCCGGTTTTCTGGTCGCCAGTAATGCTTCAGACAGCTTGGGATCCTTTGTTTCCACCTCCGTCAGCCCGACCCTGACAAGGGAACTGCTTCGCCACGTTCCAGCGAAAGGCCTGTGGTCAAAGCTTCTAGCCCCGGTGGACGCCTACCTCCGCACACGAGGGCTGCTCGAGCCTACGGCGGAGTTGCCAGCTGAAGGGTACTCGACACATCCGGTTTTCACGACGGTGGCTCGGTGCCTGCGATTCCGCTCTCGCGCGGTTTTCAAGCGGAGGAGGCGAGATCACATTAACATAAAAGAACTGGATTCGTATCTGTCCGCCGAAGAGGCCTATGCACCAACGGTGTGGGAAAGCAGCCGCAGCCTTGGAATGTTAGATTCCCAAGTGTGCATCGGCGCCCTGCTGAAGGGAAGGAGCGCTTCCTTCTCCCTCAACTGTCGCCTGCGCTCATCTTTGCCAGGCCTCCTGTTTTTTAATCTGCACCCACATTACGCCTATGTTGCTTCAGGAGACAATCCGGCCGACGACCCGACACGATCGCGGCCTTTGCGCTCCCCTACCATGAGTGAGCCTGCCTGGTTCCGATTGGCCGAAGGAGGTGACTTTCGCGAGCTCGACACTTTTCTGAATTCTTTGGGTCTGCACCCCTTGCAGTTGCAAGGTCTCTGGGATTTGGAGGCTAGCTTCTCGCAGCGTGACCGATCCCCTGGGTTTGGAGCAGAGAGCTCGGACGAAGCCTCGCCTCCACCTTCGGACCCCCTAGAATTTAGTCCCTCTCCCTCTCCCAGTAGGGTTTTAGGTGTAGCCCTTGACGACGGCGGTAGTTCCCTTACGAAGAAAGCTTCTGAGTGCCCGGGGAAGCTGCCGTTGCGACAGTTCCTTTGGCCGTCGGGGCATCGTCCTCGGAAGGGTGCCTCTCTGCCTGGCCCTGGATATCTCAGCCTGTATGCCGGGGACCGGGAAGATGCTAAAGCTGCCGTTGGGTCGGGCTTCGCATGGGCTTTGACCTTTGATGCTGCCCATGGCCCTGATCAGGACCTTGGTTGCCCCGAGCTCCAGGAGAAGGTTCTGAGTCTCGTCGAGAGCGGTGCCTTCCTCGCTGTTGGCATCGGCTTTAGCTGCCCTAGCTTTTCCACCGCGATGCAACCTGCTTGGCGCAGTAGCGCGCATCCCGAAGGTCTGCCTGACCTCGCGCCTCATGCTGAGGCTAAGATCGCCCACGGCAACCTGCACTGCTCGTTCGTCGTTCGTTTAGTGGGTTCCCTAGTGAGGTCGGGGATTCCTTTCTGGCTTCTGGGACCTGAGACGAGTTGGCGTTGGAGGCAGAGAGGCTTTGAGGATCTTTTGCGAGATGGAGGCGAGCTGGGTTTCTGGACTATCGACTATTGCCGCTTTGTTGGCGGAAACGCAGTCGCGTCTTGACTAACACTGAGCTGGCGGGGGAGAGCGAACTCTGCAGGGGTGGGCACACTCACCTTGTGCTGAGAGGACGGTCACTGGATCGCCGCTTGAGCTGGACCCAGGTTGCTTCTCGCCTCCCGCGAGCGCTTTGTGACAGGCTCGTGACTGCCCTCCTGAAGAAATGCAACGCGGAGCGCGGGGGCATCAGTGCTTGCGTTCGGGACCCGAGCCCTTGCGTTGGCCAAGCTGCCAATCCGGGGCCGGCGCGGCTTACGAAGCCTCGTCGCGGCTCCCTTTTCGACGTCGAGCTCGTGGACCCGAGGACTATAGCTCTGCGCACACGTGTGTGGGACCCCTTCATTGGGTGGCTTCGCGAGAGGCTCTCCGATGAAGCTGTCCTTGGGGTCTTCAGGTGCCCCACTCTTCTGGCTTTGGTCTTGAGGTCCTACTCCGACGAGCTCTACAAGGTGGGGGCTCCCCTGGGAAACTACCGACAGTTGCTGGCGCACGCGCAAAAGATTGTGCCTTTGGTCCGCCCTTTTCTTCGACCTGCATGGGAGATGGCCACCAGGTGGGAGGAGTTACAACCAGTGAGCCACCGCAGAGGTGATACTCAAAGCCATGGTGGGGCTTGCCCTGGCTTTTGGGTGGCGCCGTTGGTCGGGCGTCACACTAGCTACTTTCTACTGTGTGGCCCGGCCGGGCGAGCTTCTGACAGCACGGCGACGACAGGTTCTGACACCTTCTGACATGCTCGACGAGGCCCACCCGTGGTTGTATGTCAAGATCGACAAGCCAAAGAGTAGGCGGAAGGCTGCTCGAATACAGCACACCAAGCTGCGGGATCCGGGAGCTCTGGCGTTCCTCGTGGGCCTCTGGGGCAAACTGCCTCGAAACGAGCTGCTCTACCCCGGGAGTCCTTCAGTTTACAGACGACGTTGGGACAGGCTTTTGCAGCTTCTGGGAGTGCCAAAGGAGCTGAAGCTGACCCCGGGGTCCCTTCGCAGCGGTGGTGCCGTTACAGCCTTTCAGCAAGGCGTCTCAGTGAGCGAGCTGCTTTGGCGCATGCGACTGCGATCCCTCTCGACGCTGGAGTTCTACTTGCAAGAGACGGCGGCGATGTCTGTGTTGCCGGATCTGTCGACCCGTACGCGTCGGCGGCTCCTGGCAGCCGCCTCCATCTATGATTCGATCGTCGCCGATCTCCTTACGCAAGCTTCCGAGCGCGCTTCGCGGCCCTAGACTGGTTAGTGGTCTGACGCGCCTCATGGAGGTCGCAGTTTCGTCTTGCAGCCTTGGAGCGGCCCAGACGTCGAAAAAGGAGTGCGAAACTCCGAAGCAACAGGAGCGCGGCATGTCATGACTCCACATGACTTGCTGTGTGTATGTGTAGTTTTCTCGGGCCCGCCCACCCGCCCGGCGGGTCTGACGCGCCTCATATAGGTCGCAGTTTCGTCTTGCAGCCTTGGAGCGGCCCAGACGTCGAAAAAGGAGTGCGAAACTCCGAAGCAACAGGAGCGTGGCATGTCATATATATATATATATATATATATATATATATATATTTATTTATTTATATGAGAATATATATATATATATATATATATATATATATATATGATCCCGGTTCGGCCGGCGCCCCCCCCTCCCCCCCCAATGGTTCCTCCTCCCCCCCTGTGGTGTGGTGTGGTTGTGGGTTGCTTCCCCCTCCCTGTGGTGTGGTGTGGTGTGGTGTGGTTCGGGAGTGGGTCTTGCCAAATTTCATAATTCAGGGTGGTTCAGGAATGGAGCTGCGTTTTATTTTTCGGGTAGGCGTGTTTGCCAAACTTATGCCTTGAAAGGATGGTTGTTTATCCGGAACTCATGCAACCAATTTGTTGAATTGGGGGGCAAGAGGGGGCCCTGGGAAGAGGGGATGAATTGGCGGATCCCCGGATCCCACCAAATCCAGGCGCCTATTAATGTCAGTGGTCGGTTGCTTGCACGGCATGTATGACATCGTGATTAGTGATCCGGCTTGTGCGTCTTGTGACTTTTGCCGCTGGTGTTTGTCAGTTTTGAGACGCGCCGAACTGCCCGACTTGACGGCCTCAGCTGCTCAATTGCTGCAATCCAGAGGCATAGTGCAGGCTACGTTGTCGTCAATGCTGCATTCTGCAGGCTTCTTGACCTGAAACCCCTGAGCCCATCAGCATACAATGAAACAGCAAAAAAGACCAAATACTGTAACGAACTTAACGCACTCACTCAGCAATTCTGCAGCAGCAAAGTCAGCGAAGCAGTGCTTTTTGGTCCGCGGAGTCCGCTGTGTGTTTCTCGGGAAGTGGGAAGAAGCTTCCGAACTGCTCACACTCTCGTTCTCTATGTCTGTCTGTCCCCCTCGCTCTCTCTCCTATCCCAGTCTGCCAAGCGTGGTGAAAAGCCGGCTGGCTGGAACTGCAGCTGCTTTGAAGTCTTTTGCGTCCGGCGGGCCCGTTTGCACCTACACTTGCGGTGCCCCTTCAGCCTTGGGGCCTTCAACTAATCTGACATTACGGTGATGGGCTACTACTTCGAGACACATTATCAATCTGTCTGGATTCTGGCCCGTGTTTTTTCTGAAACACCTTGGGGTTCTTTGAAATTTGGTGGAATTACAGGCGACTCACGTATCCTCAGACCCAGAAATCAGCATCGTACTAAAATGGCATCCTTGGATGGCATATATGAGCTGCATGACCTCATGCTTAACCTAACCTGCACACCTGCGTGGTCTTGTCGTCAACATACTTGAGCCGAGAGGCTTCGCGAGGCCATTAGTCCAGCAGCATCACTCCAAAATTCAACCCTCGAATTAGGGCTCAGTGGTTTTAGGGTAACGGCCGGGTCTAGGGTTTAGGGTTGAGGGGTTTCGGTTTAGGATTTCGGCTTAGTCAGGGCCTAGAGGCCAACAGTCGGTCGGCCAAGAGTCTCCAAATCATACGTGGTATCCTGGGCTGCATAAGGCGCAGTCGTAATGTATAAGACTCTCTTGTCGTCAACATACCTCCAGCTTAGGATGTTAAGGGTTTAAGGTTTTACCCTGCCTGTATAATCCCTACACAACCCAAGCGCTGAGTCCGGAAGGTAAGGCTTCAAACGCTGCTAGTCACTGCTAATTTTCAGTGCTCGCAGAAGGACACCCAAAGCTGCAGGCTGTGGCCCATTGCTTCTCTTAGGCCTATCCAGTTGCGGCAGTGGCAGTGGCAACTATTCCATTAGCTTAGCAAATTGGCTGGCTAGCACCGAACTTTCTTTCACAAAAAACAAAACAGCGGACAAAAATCTGAAAAAATACCATACAGCAACAAAATTAGAGTTCAGGCCCGGCCCGGAACTTTATTCTGAAAATAAAATAAAACTCAGCGAAGAAATCGCAAAACATACGATACAGCAAAAAAATAAAGTTCAGGCCCGGCCCGGAACTTTATTTTGAAAAAAAATAAAACTCAGCGAAAAAAATTGGAAAAAATACGATACAGCAAAAAAATAAAGTTCAGGCCCGGCCCGGAACTTTATTTTGAAAAAAATAAAACTCAGCGAAAAAAATTGGAAAAAAATACGACACAGCAAGAAAAATAAAGTTCAGGCCCGGCCCGGAACTTTATTTTGCAAAAAAAAAAAAACTCAGCGAAAAAAATTGGAAAAAAATACGATACAGCAAAAAAATAAAGTTCAGGCCCGGCCCGGAACTTTATTTTGCAAAAAAATAAAACTCAGCGAAAAAAATTGGAAACAAATACGATACAGCACAAAAAAATAAAGTTCAGGCCCGGACCGGAACTTTATTCGAAAAACTAAAACCCAGCCGAAGAAACGCAAAACAACGATACAGACCAAAAAAATAAAGTTAGGGCCGGCCCGGAAACGTGATTTTTGAAAAAAAAAATAATAAAACTCAGCCGAAAAAAAATTGGAAAAAAAATACGAACAGCAAAAAAAAATATAAGTTCGGCCCGGCCACCGGAACTATCTGAAAAAAAAAATCAAACCGCGAAGAAATCGACAAAAAAAATTACGATAACAGCAAAAAAATAAAGTCAGGCCGGGCCCGCACTTATTTGAAAAAAAATTAAAAATCAGCGCAAAAAATTGGAAACAAATACGATTACAGCCAAAAAAAATAAAGTTCAGGCCCGGCCGGACGTTATCGGAAAAAAAGAAAACCCAGCGAAGAAATCGCAAAAAATACGATACAGCAAAAAAATAAAGTTCAGGCCCGGCCCGGAACTTTATTTTGAAAAAAAATAAAACTCAGCGAAAAAAATTGGAAAAAAAATACGATACAGCAAAAAAAATAAAGTTCAGGCCCGGCCCGGAACTTTATTCTGAAAAAAAAATAAAACCCAGCGAAGAAATCGCAAAACATACGATACAGCAAAAAAATAAAGTTCAGGCCCGGCCCGGAACTTTATTTTGAAAAAAAATAAAACTCAGCGAAAAAAATTGGAAAAAAAATACGATACAGCAAAAAAAATAAAGTTCAGGCCCGGCCCGGAACTTTATTTTGAAAAAAATAAAACTCAGCGAAAAAAATTGGAAAAAATACGATACAGCAAAAAAAATAAAGTTCAGGCCCGGGCCTGAACTTTATTTTTGTGGTTTCCAGCGGCCAGCATTACTATGTATAGTTTCCTGTTTTTCCATGGCCCAGACCCGGCCAGAAACAGGAAACAGTACATAGTAATAGCCTCCAAAACAGAGCTATTACTATGTACTGTTTCCTGTTTCTGGCCGGGTCTGGGCCATGGAAAAACAGGAAAGTATACATAGTAATGCTGGCCGCTGGAAACCACAAAAATAAAGTTCAGGCCGGGGCCTGAACTTTATTTTTTTTGCTGTATCGTATTTTTTTGGCACTGCATCGTATTTTTGGGCAGGTTGGACGCAGTTTTTTTGAGAGACAACAGCTGGTGAGCTGGCGTTCACGCCTTGGAAACGTGGAAGTCGGGGCTGCCTGCGGGCGGCAGCCTATCAGGCAGGAAAAAAATTAGCGAGCGCTACCGCGCGGCACATAGCCGAGTTTGGGTGGTGAGAAAGCAGGATTTTTTTTTTCCCGCGCTACCGCGCGGCACATAGCCCAGATTGATGGGTGAGAAGACTCTGAGAAGACAGGAAAAAAATTTCCCGCGCTGCCGCACGGCACATGGCCGAGTTGGGGTGGCGAGAAGACAGGAAAAAATTGGCGAGCGCTACCGCGCGGCACATAGCCGAGTTTGGGTGGTGAGAAGACAGGCAAAAATTGGCGAGCGCTACCGTGCGGCACATAGCCGAGTTTGGGTGGTGAGAAGACAGGGAAAAATTGGCGAGCGCTACCGCGCGGCACATAGCCGAGTTTGGGTGGTGAGAAGACAGGAAAAAAAATTGGCGAGCGCTACCGCCCGGCACATAGCCGAGTTTGGGTGGTGAGAAGACAGGGAAAAATTGGCGAGCGCTACCGCGCGGCACATAGCCGAGTTTGGGTGGCGAGAAGATAGGAAAAAATTGGCGAGCGCTACCGCGCTGCACATAGCCGAGTTTGGGTGGTGAGAAAACAGGATTTTTTTTTCCGCGCTACCGCGCGGCACATAGCCCAGATTGATGGGTGAGAAGACTCTGAGAAGACAGGAAAAAAAATTCCCGCGCTGCCGCGCGGCACATAGCCGAGCTGGGGTGGCGAGAATACAGGAAAAAATTGGCGAGCGCTACCGCGCGGCACATAGCCGAGTTTGGGTGGTGAGAAAAGACAAGAAAAAATTGGCGAGCGCTACCGCGCGGCACATAGCCGAGTCGAGTCTGGGTGGTGAGAAGACAAGAAAAAATAGCGAGCGCTACCGCGCGGCACGTAGCCGAGTTTGGGTGGTGAAGAGTGAGAAGTATATTGAGAAGACTCCTGAGAAGACAAAACAATTGGCGAGCGCTACCGGGCGGCACATAAGCGCATAGCCGAGTCTGGGTGGTCAAGTGGTCGAGACAGTGAAAAGACAAGAAAAACTTGGCGAGCGCTACCGTGCGGCGCATACCCGAGTTTGGGTGGTGAGGAGTGAGAAGTATATTGAGAAGACTCCTGAGAAGACAAAGTTTTGGCGAGCGCTACCGCGCGGCACATAAGCACATAGCCGAGTCTGGGTGGTCAAGTGGTGAGACAATGAGAAGACAAGAAAAAATTGGCGAGCGATATCGCGGGTGTGGAGTGTGGGAGTGGGGGGCTGGGTGGGGAGTGGGAGCGGGGGGTGGGCGGGGAGCGGGGGCGGTGGCTGGGGGCTCCTTGTTTGGGCCGGGAGGGCGGGTTGAGGGTCTCCAATCACACTGCCCTTCGGCCCTCACAAAAAAAGTTCTTGTTTTGGAAACTTGGAAGTTCGGTCCCGGAGCCGGCGAGTGGGAGATTATCCCACTAATCATGAGGCAGCATTGTTTAAAGGAGGGTGCGCGGCGTACCGGTTTAGGGCCCTGTGGCTTCTGGCCCTTTTGCTTGGAAATATGGAGTGAGAGTGGGAGCCGGAGCTTCTCTTGTTGTCAGCTTGTATTACTATACGTGTTACAGGTTATAACATATCACACACACTTAATACGTGATACTCACATCATGCTTTATTCCTTTCTTTGTTGTAGTATTGTATTTGTATTATTGTTCTGACGGTTGTAATGTTTTATTGTACATGTGTTTTACTATATTGTTGAATCACTGCAGCATCATATTGTGTGACTGTCAATGACTGTGTGATTGTGTTATCGGATGCCCAATAGACTCAATAGGTTTCAATGCCGCTGCCACTGCGAAAGGCAGGCAATAAAATATTACCCAACAGTACAGGATGTACACGCTCAGTGAATCTTGAATAGCGAAAGGCTCGCAATTTCTACCTGGGTACCGTTGCAAACGGATCAAACACGTGTTTAAACATATCTGCGGCGCCCACGCTTGACACTGAAGCTGGAAAGCATTTTGTAGGGCTTCGTGATTGGTTTGGCCACCCGTCATTTGGGGCAATGCCAGTCGAAACAAAGCGTATCTTCGCTTCGATTGACAAAAGCAAGCCAGCAATTGCACAACCCATAATAGCACTGACACCTTGGCAAGCCTAGAAAGCATGCTCTGATTACAGCGACAAGCGGCTTGCCCTGATTCTTTCTGTAGGCTCAGAGGCTTTGCGGGGACAAACCGCGGCTGTTTCCAAAAATGCCCAAGTCATTGAACTCATATGTGAGACGGGGTACCCTGTTTCGGTTGGTTTTGTTTTGGAATGGCAAAGCAAAAAAATAAAACACAGTCCCGTCCGGGAACTTTCATTAAAAAGCAGGGATTATGAAATTTGGCAGTGGGTCTGCTTAGGCTGGTTACCCCACTCCCCCCTGTGGTGTGGTGTGGTTTGGGTTTCCTGCGTGGGTCTGCTTGGCGTGTGAGCCCTCGTGTGGAAAAAGCTTGCACAGTCACACACAGATTCGGCTTGGGGGGTCGGTGAACCGAGAACCGGGATCATATATATATACATATATATATGTGTGTGTGTGTGTGTGTATGTAGAGCTTTGTGCTGAGAGTTGAAGCCACTGCGCAAGCAGGGGGAATTCGGGCAGAGCGATAAGTCTGAAAATTGAAATTTGTGAGACCTTTGTGGTGAGAGCTTCATTCTGAGCAGCTTTGTTTTTGAGGCGAACCGCCACTCTCTGAGGTCCATATGCCCACCTTGCTCGCGGACCGGGCAGCAATGCCGCTTGACGAGCTTGAGTCGAGCGAAAGAGGGCTCCTCAGAAGTGCGCGACAATGTGCAGGTGGCCCGAGGATCCAGTTGAAGTGGTCAGCTCCTTGCTCCAAAAGCGCCTGCGGGCCTGCATGTAAGCAGCGTGAACTTGAGGCATCTCTTTTCTCAGCTTCCTCCATGCACCAGCCTTGGGTTCAATGGTGTCTTTGACCCTTCCATGACGCGAGCTGGCACCAGGCCGACGAGTGTCTCCGTCCCCACGGCCTCAATATGTCGAACAACAAGTTGGGTGCTGTCCACTACGAGCCCGGCTGTGGACAAGGCGGTTTTGTTGCCGATTGAACTGTCGCAGCCTGCCGTAGCCGGACTGACAGGAAAGCGTCTGCAACCAGGACGTGGTTTCCATGCACGGAGAGGCGCGGAGTAAGAGACACCCCCCTACAAGCAGTTACAGTACATGTGTTTCTCGGTCGCCGAGGTCGGGAGTCCATCATTGGAGGCGTCCGAGGCTCCAACAGCAATCGATGCAGCTATGTCAGCTATGTGGTGAATGCGATGCACGCAACCTTCGGAATCGGCTTCTGTGACCTGTGATGTGCTTTGTACATTGAGGTGCAGCGCCGCATCCTCGATCCCTCTTTGTGCCGTGAGGCCGTGCCTTGTATTTTGCAGATGTGCTGCTGTGCACCGGCGGCAGATGCCTTGTCGCTATGTCATTGCAGGAGCTGCAGGAGACCCGCGTGTGATCTCACAGATCGCCCGAGCTTCCCGTGTGTGTCGTTTCGTCCATGCGTTCATGCAAAGTTGTCGTGGTTGATCCTGCGCATCCCTGCGAGCTCAACGCACGCTTCGAGTTTCGTTGTTCTGCCCACACGGGCATGAGCAGGCGTGCACTTGCCATCTTTGAGTTTAACTTTCTTCATCTCGGGATAGACAGTCAGGTGTCAGCGATTTTCCGCTGCCGAATCTACGTTGACCATTCCTGCGAAAAATCGGCGACTGTTCTCAGATGCATTGCTAAGCAAACATCGAGCAACAGCTATAGACCTGTGCCTGTGGAAGACGTGCGAAGCACTCAAAGCGGGGCTTGATCCGGGCGACAAATAAGGGACGTGGAAAGCAAGCGGAACAGCAGAGGAGATGTGAAGCCGTCGATGCACGCACCTGCGTCCCCGATACCAGCTCGGCCTGCTCAAAGCATGAGAGAAGGGATTGCGCAAGCTGCAGCATCGCATCAGTTTTGGGGTGCTTCGATCGACCGCTATGGCGACTCCGACCACGCGTCATTCCACTTGTTGCAAGAGTTGCGATAAACGGATATGTCAGCGGCTTTGCATGCCATAGAAGCAGATTAGTTTGTCAGCACATGCAATGCCGACTGGCTAAATGCAGCTAGAGACCTGACGGAGGGGACGGTCATAGGCCGAGCATGATGGCGAAGCTTCTCCCACTGCTTGGTCGCTCATGACCTCCATCGAGTTTCGCTCCGTCTGCAGCTTTTCTTCGCCGCTTTCCACGCAACGGTCCAGGTGCGGCCTGGACTCGCAGAGCTACAAAAACGCCCAGTTCTGCTGTCTGTTCTCTTCTTCTCTGTCTCAGTGATTCAGGCGCTCCTCAGCTGGAGCCACCTGCAGCTGCTGTTTGGTCGTCGCCCAGAGAGGTTTGCTCTTCGCAGGGCTCAGCGATGGAAAGATCCTGGCTTGGGAAATCGATCGAATCTCGGAGAGGATTCGGAACAAACACAGCCCGGGTGCTACGGCGACTACATGCGACCATCGACCAGCCGAGGAAACTGTGCCGACCGGAGGGCCAAAGAGAGCAAAGCTCGAGTCCTCGAAGAGCACAAGGGGGATGTGCGCTGTCTTCTCTATGTCGAGAGTCTCTGCCAGGCCGAGATTAGCTATCAGCTATCAAATCAATGCACACTGTGAAAGATACATGGTACCTGCAGGGAGTGGTGATCTCCGGCGCCGCCGACGCTCCCACGCGTGTTCCAGTCATCAGGGCTTGGGAGAAATTGTGAGCATGAGTGTTGCGGCTCTCCCAAGGATCGATGCATCAAGATGCACCTCGGATCGCCTCTGCACAGGGCATGTGCAGCACTGCGCACCTCATGAATGTCCGAGCTGAGGTGGGACCTTTCGGATCCAAGGACGGGCATTCAGTGTGCTTGGAGCTCAGCTTCATATGCTTCATTTCGTCCTAGGAAAAACCGAGTATGAAGAGTCCTGAAGAGCAGCAGGCTTTAGTCACTGCGTGGTCTGCGCGCTCTGAAAGTGGTGCGCGCAGGTACAGAGCCTGTGCGGTCATGGAGGAACCGTCATCGCACTTGAGCATGGTTCGGACCTTCTACTCAGGCACACGTCGTTGAGTACTTGAAGCCACATGTGTGTTCCCCGCCTGCTTCCCCTGCGCAGTTCTTCCACTGATGGGCTGCTCTTCGTTTGGCGTGATGCGTGGGGTTCCAAAATTGCAAGAACATTTGAGAAGAAAGGAGGGAGCTCGTTCCCGAGGAGCCCTGCGCGGCTGCTTCGCTTCCCGGCCTATGCTGTCCGCCAACGCCTGGAGCCGCAGCAGAGCCAAAGAGCGAAGGAGCGCCGCCGACGTGATTCAGCTGCGAATTCATGGGGCGATTTTTCCCCACGGCTGTTCAGGAGACCTGGTTCTTGTTGCTTGCCTGCACTACTTGAGCAATTTTGAGGAGCCCACTAAGCCCCTTCTGGTGTTGGTTTGGGGGTTGTAGGCAAACAAACTTGCCGAATCGTCATGCTGCTATGCTGTGCAACGTTGGCACGGGCGAGAGGCGAGAGTTTTTGCTGGATGTATAGACTGATATCATCCCAGCTGCCTATTGGGCTTTCGACTTCCGCCGGCGGCGTGGGGGGGGTTGGACCGGGTTGGACTCAGTCTTGGCAGGCGCTTCCAGTCCGCCATCCCTGAAACCGGAAAACACACCTCACTTTGAAGGAGCCTGCTCTCGAGCCTTCTGCCGTAGATGTAGCACAGGGTTGCGGATCCTAGGTGCATGAAGAATCGTGTTTTTCTTTTTTTTTTTTTCCGAGGCTTGTCAGCACTTCCATCAATTAACGTGGCGCCGCGCATTTCAGTTTCACCATCGAAGAGTGGCGTATCCGCTCTTCTCGTGCTCCGTGCTTTTTGTATGTTGCTCGTGTGGCGCGTAAGCCCATGAAGTTATGAAGGGTGAGGCGTTTGCAAAACAAGAAACCTCTTGGACCTGCCTGGTGAAACCAAGTTAAAGGCAAGACGGTGGCAGGACGTAGGCAGGCATGATGTGGTGTCTGTGATGTTGAGAGGTTAGATGTGAGCGTTGCATAACATTGTGACCTGAGGTCACTTTCCATGCGCGAAGGCGAGGCTCCTACGCTCTTTGCCGGCGTGACCTGGCCTGGCTATCTCTGCAGATTGTGCTTCTCCCGCCGGCCATCAGTGTTCGCGAGGATTCCGAAGGATATGTCCACATCTTCAAGCTGGATCTGACACAGGACCCGCTCACTGGGAAGATCCTCCGGAGCAGCTTTGCACGGGCGGAGCTTTGCTCGAGGACAAAGCCAGCGAGCAGCTTTTCTTGGCAGTTTGGAAGGTGCCGGAGCTAAGGAAGAAAGAAGGGCTAAGTCTAAGTTGTTTTGCCTTTTGCCTTTGTTTTGCAGCTCGAGGCAAAGGTCCACGAGCTTGGAGTCTCGAAGATCATGGCTGTGCCGATGGAATCCTTTCTCTTCACCCTGTCCTATGACCAGACGCTAGAACTTCTTGGACTTGTAATCGTGAGTCGGCTCCTTTCCGCGTTCGGCACCAGGGGGGTTTTGTTTCTGTACCGCATGTCTGACCGTGAGTCTCAGGAAGCTGAAGGCCATGGACAGCGTCTCTGGGCAGATCCTCTTCGAAGAGTTGAACCAGTGCAACGTTATTTTCCACAGCCTGGCTTGGGATCCAACCAGTCAAGATGTGGCTTGCCTATGCCTGGTGAGAGCATGGTCGATGCTTTTGGGCAAGTCGTCGAGTCGTGTCAGGTGATTGTGTGCGACAGCAAGGGCAATCTCGGCTTCTACAACCTCATCCAGGAGATCAGATCGGAGAGAGTCGAGCAGGGTTCTTCAAGCTTCCAGGCGAGGTGAACGTACCGACCTTCCGCCTCATTTAGCGTTCCACGATGGGCTTGAGGGGCCTTGTTTTCAACGCATTCTACCCAAAGCCGGAACGAGGGCATGCAAGAAAGGAGCCCGGTTCAAGCTAGTCACGGCCTTTGAAGGCATCAGCGACACATGTCAGGACGCTTGCGGACCACCCCTCCACAAACCCCGGCCAAATCGCACTGCTTGTGGACCCCTTGAAAGGCAATCTTTGTTTGGACAAGACAACAAGCGTGGAAGGGTCAAATGTCTCGATCAGACCCGGAATGCCGGGATCTGGGCCTTGGCTCATTCTGGCATCCAGCTAGGATGGTCGGAGTATCTTCAGAAGCAGCTCCTTCAACTTGAAGGATGGTTGTGCTTCCATTGCCCGGATGCTGTACACGACCCAAAATATGAGACTCAGTAGAGGGCAGGTCCAGGTGGACAACAACAGGAAATCCAGATGATGCAGCCGCAAGTTGATACCTCAAAGCGGCGGAGCGCGCATCGGATGTGGCGCGAAGAGCTGCATGTTGCTCAATGTGGTACTCGTTCGTCTCGTCTCTCACCATGCGCTCTGGTCTTGGAGGAGTCCTGGGTTGCCTGGAAGAAGGTGAGCGAAGATCCCATCATCGGCGTTCACCTTTTGCCCGCAATTTCGCGCTTGGTTCTGCTGACACCCCACTCGATTCAGGCACTGTGCACTTGCGACCGATTCAGCTTGGGCCTGGGGATTTGCATCAGGTGCTAGACATCGTGCGAGGTGTAAAGTTCCAGGAGATCAAGGAGTTGCGGTGCTCCTTGCAGCCGTGCAGCAGCCAGTTCACAGCCTCGAGCACAAGTCTGCAGGAGCACACGGCACCCATCGTAGCCATCGCATCTCGACCTACGAGCCAGGGTGGCGTTCTGTACACGGCTTCTTGGCGCCAGACCAAAGCGTGAGTCTCGACATTGCGGTAAAGCGTGGTTTGCCTTCAGGCATCCATGGACAATACCATCCGGATGTGGGATTCAGACGCTTGCCTTCTGAACCTGTGCCATTGGCAGGTGCTTGCAGCCGTTACAGGTGAGGGTTGCAAAAAGCTGACCTAACTGCAGTCTTCTTCTCGAGCCTAGGACACGCTGGAGTGCATCAAGTGCCTCAAGGCCGGAGCGTCTTGAAGCACCAGGAGCCGTGCAAGAAATCTGGGCTCGCTCGGTTCAGGAGCGGAAGCAGGAGATTACGGCCATGGTTTATGTTCCCCGAGCCAATGTCGTGATCACCGGCCACGAGAACTCTGACTTGAAGATGTGGTCCTTGGATAGATTCTGGGCGGCTTTGTGTAGTTGGTGACAAATTGTTCGTGCTTCGAATGTACAAGTACTTCTTGTGCTCCTGCTGCATGAGGCCATCAGGAAGCATGCTTGAAAACGGTCACCGGGCAACCGGTGCAGTGGCTAAATTCAGACATCCGGTCAGGGAAGGCCCTAGCCGCCCGGAGCCCGAAGCGAGAGTGTTTATGTAAATTCGAAAGATACACGAAAACCCTTCAACGTCCACGGACTTGCTCCGCAACCTGGCACATTCGATGCGGGCCATTGCTGTTCTTGCTCAGAAGATAAGAACCCCTGAGTGATTCTGCGAGCTCGCCGTTTGGTGCATCAAGCACGAGCTACAGCTGTCTCTTTCGGATACTTGGCAAGGTGCACGAGAACACCATCAGTGCCTTGATTCTCGTGAACGTTCAAGCAGAGTCTGCTCACGAAGATCCGACTGGAACTGGCTTCGAACTTGTGGTGGCGGGCTCCTACGACCGGCAGCTTTCCTTCTGGCGGGTGACGCTGACCAGCGACGGTTCCTCGTTCCAGCGTCTTAAAAGAGTGCGCATCTTTTTGAGGCTTGAACGTCCTTTTTTTGCAGGCACGGCCATGGCCAAGTTCGAGCGCGTCTTCCTGGCCCACGAGGAGCAGAGCTCTGGGAGTCCGAGCTTCGCTTAAGCGAAGACTTGTTCCCAGGATGCCACAGATGAGATCCTCGCTTTGGGACACAGCCCCTTTGGATCGATTTTCTCTGGCGGCAACGAGGGCATCATCAGGCAGCTGGACCGCGTGACTGCACTTGCAGACTCTTGCACATTGTGCAAGGCAGTGGACCGTTTGGGGTGGCAAGGCATCGGAGGCACATTTCGGGCAAGATTAATCCATTGCTGTGCTTTCTTGCTTTCTTGCGCGGCTTGAGGCAGATCTGATCGGACACGAGGAGCCTGCCACATGTTTTCGAGCACGTTCGAGATCTTGTTCTGGTTTCTGCCAGTTTGCTATCTTTTGCTCCTGCTCTTGAACGAACATCGAGAGTGATACACAAATTCTGTCGCCGGTCGCCCAAGGAAATGTGACAGTCTGCATGTGTGTATGTGTATACTGCATATCTGGGATGCTTCTTTACACTCCATGTAGCCTGAACTTAGATGCTGACAGATTGCACTCAATGCATAAATCGGTTCCTAAATTAACGGCAGGTGGGTTGGAATTTCGGGATCAGTCTCATCGGCTGATAGAGCAGCACTGATGCGGGTAATGTTCGTGGTTAGTTTGGCTCCACACAATCGCCCCGGGATTTTTTCGAGTGTTGCAGCTGATCAGCTACGGCCTGGGATGTTGAGATCATGTCGTTCCCTTCCGGAGGTCGTCGTCTAGTGCTTTCGAGGTTTGATCTCCCTCGCTTGATCCTCGAGAGGCTCTAGTTTCGTTTTCGGACAGTATGGTCTTGATCAGCGACAGATGGAGGAGAGCTGCAGTCGCGGTCCATCATCAACCCCGGCCATCCACATGCTCACGGGGAGTCTGGGTTTCACAAGTGTTCGAAGAAAGGCCGTATTGCGCTTCAGCATCGGGTCGCAGCCTGGAGGTCCGCTTGCTGTGTGGGACAGCTCTACCGCGCGAGCGCTGTCCCACGAGGCGTTCCAGCCATTCGTTTCGCCGCATCCTGCGTCATTGAATGGACTCGAAGTTCTTTCCCATCACGACGCACCGCCCTATCGGGGGGACGCAGGTGGGTCAGGGCCTTGACGTCACTGTGGGCCGCCCAAGATCGCCTCGAACTCCTATGCTTCTTCTATGTCGATTCTGAGAGCAGTAAAAGTCGAGTAATCGTCGTCTCGGGCGCGAGTGAAATCATGCCAGTAATTGTGCCTGAACTGATCGCTCGAGGCAGATTTACCAGCTGGTCAGCAGCGATCTTTTGCATTGATGTCGGATCGCGACCAGATCAAGCGCCGTGTGGCAGACCAAAGTCGGTCGACTAAAAGAGAAGGGCTTTGCAGCAGCCAATCTGTCGCTCTCTGGTGCCGTTATTCTCGGCGATCGGGACTACCTGACAAACTCATGTACGAGATCATGCGTGCCTCGGATTCACCCAAGATTCTGATCCCTTCCCCCAAACCTTACACACCCGTACCCCTACTCCCTACATAAACCTCCCCGAAACAGAAGCTCCGCGTGGCGCAGTGTGGCTTATTCGGTCCGTGCATTCTCTGGTGGCTGCGGTGCATGCTCGCCACTACGTGTTCCTTGGCTGCTGACATCCAAATAGTCAAGAACCTCCTCAAGTTGCTCTTGCTGGCTCTGCCCCAAGTCTTCTTCTATCACATTTGGCTGTTGCGGCTCCCCATTGATGGTAGGCATTGCGGCTGTAGCCAACGTCTGCTTGATGTATGTTGCTTTTGGTTTGTTTGGGTTCCGCGGAGGTACGCCTAGTCTAAAGGGGTCCTTTGCTCTATCCAGTTGCGACTCGTCTCACCGAAAGCGTCGCAAGAACTCCATCTTCTGGTCATCCTAGGTAGATACCACCAACCCCCTGGCTGGTGTCAGGATTGGAGAAGATCTTCAGAGTGGACAAGGCAGGACCATATCCACTGCTGCGACGTCGCGAAGAAGGAGAGGCACTCAGGTATTTCAAAAAGAAGTATGTGTTCACGCAAGAGGTGTTTTGCACACATTGTAAGCATATCGCCACGTGCAGTGAACAATAACTTAGGTTACGACCAGCTTTGTCTGGCATTCGGATGACGAAGCGACTGGAAGCATATCATCAACATAAACGGCTGACCGACGGATTCTGAGGAACATATTCATCTCCTCGGCAAAACATTGACGAATGTACTCCGACGACGAGGATCGCAAATACCTTCAGCACTTCCTCATGTGAGACATACATAGACGACTGACGAAATATTCCGCCGTTTTGGCGAAGACCATACGGATGAAGACAACATATCGTTGTGCTCTGCAAGGTAGGAAAGTCAGTTCGCGTGCTGGCATGTATAGGTTCTGGATGAACGCCCCACATGCGGACGGTTGGCTCAGGAACGACAGCTGCAGCCGTGAAAGCAAAAAGTGGCTTTGTTTTCTTGCTGGCAGACTAGAGGCCCCTCTGCTAGTTTCCTTGACCCCTCCTAGTTGTCGAGTACCCTGCGCGGTTCACCCCGCGCACGAGGCTCTTTGGTATTAGGGCACCTCGACCCATTATCTGGGAGACCCGCCATAGGCACGGGCGCGACAAGGAATTGTACCTAAACCCTTCGCAACGCGTGCTACATATCCAACCTACACCTCCATACACTGAGCTACCCGGTGTTCACCCTCTCCACTGTCTCGGTAAATAAGGGAAGACATATGCAAGATGTCAAGAATAGAAGTACAGAGGAGCGGAACAGGATAACGGAAGTTCAAATAAACACTACGTCTGACAGGATAGTACATATACGGGATGAAATTGATCGAGCACATGACAGTACTGACGAGTGTAGGAAAATCACAGGTGATGGCCGCAAGAGGTGTGATCACGAATCCAAGAGCATCAACATACGAGTGAAAGATGTGACGGATTGTAGCCATGAGGCATGAAAGACATCAAGGGCCGGAGATAGCGACAATTCGCGCCAGCATGTCAAGGGTTAGCGGTTTGATGACAAATATGAGCGAGGGCGGCTCCGGTACTCTCGGCGAAGAAGCAGCTGGAACAGTTGTCGATTACGGAAAAGCGTTCGGGAAATTCAGGCGTAGGCTTGAGATGGCTTGAGGAGGTTGAGAAAAGATGAGAAAGGGTATAACCATAAGCAAATCACATACTTTGATGTCGGAGGCCAGAGAACTAGCTATGCGCACAAAGTACGATCGGATATGGGTGTCTGATCGAGGCCGTCGAGGTTGCCATGCAAGCACAAGGGAGAGTCGGTAGCCCTGCCATCACCTCCGCCCCATCTAACGCTGACTCTCTTGCGTACTCATCTATGGACGAAGCGCTTGGTAAGTGCGTGCCAGAGAACACTGCTTCAAGAAACAGAAATACGGATGAGATAGAGAAGATGAAATCGAACCGTGCCAAGCCATTGTCAAACTCAAGAGGATGATATAGAAGGTGTTATGGCTGAAGTGTGGGCGTCATCTTGGGAAGTTAAAGGGTGAAAGAACGGTGGACAAGCTCGTTATCGTTATGACAACCAGTATCAGCAGAATTACGACCTCAAGCTGGACAACCACACTCAGAGCATACGAGGGAACTGAGGGAACTGTCATGCTGTGGCGCGCCTACGAGTGAAGGAGCTGCAACCTGGTCTATCAGCCTGGGAAGAGCAGCGCAAAAGGGAAATCGTAAGAACGAAGGATGAAATCGCAGCACTCCGCCAAGAGGTCATCCAACTGCAAAGACATAAAGAGGTGAGCGGTATCGACGATGTCCGAGCACTAAACGATCAAGTAGCTGAGCTCACCTAGGCCCGGCGCAGCCTGAGACAAGGACGGGGTGATCGGTACGCTGTTCCTGCGGAGGCAATGTTTGGGAGGCCAGGCAACACTCCAGGCTCTGGTACACGCGATAATAATTCCTTTAGCGTGTCTGAGCAACATCGAAGGGCGGGCGCACAAGGACGGGGCCAGCCTAACATGCCTGGCTGCCGATTTCAGCCGGGAGGTGGAGCACAAGAATTCGGCAGAACATGTATGGTCAGCAGCCTGAAAGGTGACAGAATTCTAGGCAAGCGCGGATTGGCCGTGAACGACTGGTGATTAGTGGATGTGTCCAGAAGATGTAAGGGAGCCGAGGGCACAATGCCACTGTGCGCGATATGCAGTAAATTCGCGTGCGTAGCGCACTTGACCGATGCAACGGCGATAGAGGATCACGACCAATCGGCGCTTCTCGGGGACCGGGAGGGCCGCCAGGACATAACATTGACCGTCGGGGAAACGACAAGTGTGAAGACGTAAAGCTACAACCGGAATCAAACGCAGCAGGACGAGGGTTCTGGACTGTACCCACGGTTGAGGCTTCCAAGAATGCATACCAAATTGAAATAGAATATGTTGAAGCGGAACTGCAGAAAGTCGAAGACGGGGATGATATGATTATAGACCTACCACGAAAATATACCGTGGTTGAATCGAAGTTGTCGTGTGTATTAACTGAATTAACTGCGTCAAATCGGGCACTCAAGGCCCCAAATAGAAACGAGACGATCCACTGATTTCCGCGAGAATAGCGCCACCACGTCTCGTCGGATCATGAAGACCACACTTGCCCGCTGTAAGGTCGCAAGAGGGGAAGAGAGCATGAACGGGCTTTTAGTCAGCCCGCTCGGATTAGTTCAGCCACACTTTTGCTCTTCAGCTCCACACTTCCGCTCCCAAGGTGTCCCCAAGCCGCTTGCACACGACAAGCATAATTATGACGGGCCGCGGAGCCAGACATCGCTAGACACCTCGGGGGAGCCATCCTGCCCCCCTTTTAAATGCATACTGCAAATCACTCTGCTAACTTGGAGCGGGAGGCCCAGGTAGTTTGTCAACTGGAGAACCCGCCTGCCTTTGTGACCTGCTCAGTTTGTTGTTGACGGTTGTTGCTTACCATGAAAAGGTGGGGAAACCAGTGACTGCCCATGTTGTCTGACATAGGGAACCACTTCGAAGCAGGGGGGGTCCCACGCTGTCTACGCTACTGCTGTAGTCCGTCTACCCCAACTACTGTGAACGTTGTAGCCGGTCTGTTCGTGAAGTTTGATGTTGGCGCGGTCTTTCGCTGCTGTTGCTTGACAAGGGGGACGACTACAAACCATAGGTGTTTTCCGGGGAATGTGTCCATCGAGGGTCTGAGGACGGTGTTGGAGAGGGCGCGGGGACGAGGCCGGGATGCGCGGTAGTGTA